AGTAAAACAAAATCAAGCTATTATCACTTTATTCTATTAACCGTAGAATTGATTGTACCTACTGTAATCTTTTTAGTGTTTAAAGTAGAGAAAAAAAATAAAAATATATTTAAATATTATTTAAATTGTAATTTTGAGTTCAAATAACTTGTTGTTTATATATAGGCATAAAATAATATAAGGTATATAATGCAAATGATGCAATTTTCAAGCCGATGAAAAAAGTAGATTTGAGTCCCGAGAGAGATTAGTCAAATGAAAAATAAACACGATTATGGTAAAAATCGGTACAACAACACCCAACCCGATGATAGTGTTGTAGAAGATTATTTATTATGACAAAATATTTTTCACAAACACTTACACGTATAATAATAGTTATGACTTATAAGTTATAAGTTATAACTCACTAACTAATATTCTAAGGTAGCTTCCACACTATATTAATATAGAATTTATGTAAAGAAACGATTGATGTTTTTCGGAGCATTACAAAAGAATTTGCATCAACGATAATGACTTAAAAAAAATATTGGTCCAATCCTACCAACATTTATACTGCATTGTGTATAAAAATGTTGACAGTATTTGACAGGGTTCATCTGAAAACCTCACTTATAATTAGTGTTTCAGATGGTTATGCGAAATTTCAAAGGCAACATTTTTCAGCATGCATCACTTATATATTATATTATACAGAACTAATTATTACAATTAAAACTAATATGCGTTGTGAATAAAATACAAAAAATAAAAGGTTTAATTCAAACAATAAAATAAATAAACAAAATATTAGGCATATAATTAATAATTAAATTGGTATATATTATTAGGTATATTATACATAAACAAAAATATATTATACAACTGGAATATTTGCTTAAAACCCAGTTTCGACAAATATATTTTTTGTTGTTTTGGTAATTCAATAATGATACTGTAGATAACTACGTGGAATTAAAAAAAAACTTGGGAGTAAAAGCCATTTATTTTTATAAGCGTTTGAAATTCAAATTTTGACGACATATTTAAATGTCTAACAACTGGGTATTTATTCTCAAAAGAAGTTTTTTTTGTTATTTTGCTATTATTCAAAAAATATTAATCGTATAGAAACACGAAACATTTAACTATTGCATAAATTCTCGTTTTCTATACACGATGACCTTTTCAAAATATTTAGACATTTTAAACTATTTATAGACAATTATTAATAAATAATTTTTTTTTTCTTTCAAGCGTTAATACATATTTTTATAATATAGGTAGATCAAAAAGTTTTGAATTATAATATGATATTTTTACTGCAATTGAAAAAAAAATATCAAAGTTGAATACTGTGTAATTTTCCTGTAACTTGTATATGGTAAAATCGATTCACTTTGTGTGGGTAACCACTTGAACACGGGGTAATTACCTCGGTGAAAAATGTAAATAGAGTATAGACACAGACTGTTAACATAAAAATATATACACTTAATACTTAATACAACTTAATACTTAAAAATATTGTTCATCGTATTATCTCCCATCCACTAATACTGCTATTTAATATTATATTATCTTTATCTAGAGGAATGTACCTGTCATGCTTTAAAAAATGTATTGTTATCCCTCATTTTTAAATAAAGTGACAAATTAAGTTGTTGTAATTATTATCATAGACACATCTCGTAATAATTATCCTTATGACCTTATCAAAAAAAAATGTTGAACAATGTAACAATACCAGAATTATAGGTAGGTACAATAGGTACATATTTAAAATAATTACTCTTTTTTTCTGATTACCAGTTTGGTTTTTACAATTTTACAGGATAGGTTATTAAATAATGAGCATGTCTTTTAATAAATATATACATAAAATCTAGATTTGAGTAATAAAACTATGGGTATTTTTTTAGATGTCAAAAAGGCATTAGAACATTATTAGATTATGGTAACTTAAAAAAACGTTACTATGCTAGAATTAGTGGTAGGTACTGAAAACGACCTTATTCGATCATACCTTACAAATAGGCTACAGGTAGTTCAAATTAACGATGATTGATGAATCAAAAAAATAATTATCTAAAACTAAATTACTGTGTGCCGCGATGGAATTGTATATTTGGGCCCATTTTCTTTATTATATACTATAAAAATAGATTGCTTAATATTAATGTTGATGCTAATATACTGTGTTTCGTAGACGATACGTACTTGTTATTCTGTATGTTCTCTTACAAGAAAAAAATATTGATAAATTATAAACCAAAGCTAATAAAGCAGCTAAGACCATAAATTAGTGGTTTAACATTAATCTTCTTAAATTAAACTAAATATAAATATATTATTTTTAATAATCCAAATATTGTGTAGAAATTATCTATATACAACACCTACTTTATGTCTGAAAAAAGCTTTATCAACTGTGATTGGCTTAAATATTAAAAGAGTAAATTCTATATTATTTTACAAATATATCGTAAAATACGAAAATAGAAATACATTATAGTAATTAAAAAAAAAGTTCACCATGCGATTTCGGGTAATATGAAATTTAAATAGCAGAACAATCTATCCAATTTATACAATAAAAGAAATAGTAGTCAATTACTGTTTGTATTCAAATGTAAACCAAAAGACAATGACTGTATGTTTGTAGCTTTTAGATTCAAAAATTAAATTACTAAATTACTGCTTCCCCATTAAAAAAGTTCATACGATTAAAAGAAGCACAAACCCCAAATTGTGTGTGCGATAAGAAATGCAATATTTTAGAACTTGGTGAATTTACAACTAATAGGGTTTTTATGGTCGAATTTCGACCAATGGACGGTACTAATTATTATTATTAATTCATGATAATATTATGATAGAAATATATACGTTTTAATAACTTTATTTTATGAATTAAAAAAAAAAAAAGATGTTCTGCTGTACAGTAGGTTACAAGTGGGTCACTGTATAATAGATGGTATTCAATTTGAATTCAATTAAATAATATAATTGTATAAGAAAAACGATTCTGAACGGAGACGGTATGTCAGTCTAGGTATAAGACATATTATATACTTATCTATGGTATTAAAAAAAATTGACATATAATAGGTACCTATAATAAAATCCAACTTAATCATATCACAATATCCATTAGGTACTTATAACGCGTTATACATCAACAACAAACCCTGATACTATCATAGATATATAATAGTACACTTTAGAAGTTTCAAGTACCCACGAATAATTTTATAAAATCACAACAAAATGTTATTCTAGGTTTTTTTTAAATATGTAATTTCGTCCAAATTTGAACTTAAAATAACTATAAAAATAAATCGTGCATGTAAAAAAAAAAACATCATTGTAAAATCAATACATTCATCGTTCCACTCAGAATCTACAAATCATTAATTCATTTTTATAAAATGATACAATTGAAAATGTTTTCTAATTTTGTATGAAATATAAAATATGAAAGTAAATATTTAAATATTTTCTTATGCTAGTTGGGTATTAATATACAATGGCTATAAAATAATTGATGTTACACAATTCATGTAAAAATGATTATAATAGAACGTGATTTAAACTTTGAAGACGATAAGTCGAAATTTTGAAGCATCCTTACTTATACTATTCGTATACTATAAGTATAAGTCGAATATTGAAGTTTTATTTAAAAAAATACCTATATCTTCACACATTCAATGATAGTATATCATGTCAAATTCTATTATCTTTTGTTTATCTTACAAAAAGAATGCTACATGTGACACATCGATTTGTTATCTTTATCTATCATATCAAATGTAGAAAATAAACGTGTTGTAGAAAGTACAAGGGCTCCGAGTAAATATTATATTTAACTTTTATTGTACACCTATTAGAAAAACGTATTATACATAAGTATTAAGTTGAGTTTTCAACTAACTTATTTTACATATTCTGTAAGCACTATACTTATAATAATAAATAATATATATTATACATATTATATTATATATTTTTTTTTTTTTTTATAGAAGAAGGGTGTATTAAGTATATATTTTACAAACTGAAGATTTAGACAATTTATTATTATGGACATAATATATAATGGCATAATAATAAGTATATCTGTTGCCGCCACAGTATAGTGATAAGTCACGCACGCGAGCACGGCCAGATCAAAGGTCGTGCCGGTGTCTCATTCGCGTCTAACGAGACATAATCGGTCGGCGGCCGTGTTATGTAATATAGGTGATATGCAAATATCGTTGTTCGCCTGCTAGTTAGTCATACACTGTTCGTCGTCAGTACCGGTGTGTGTGTGTCGTGTGTGCGTGTGCGAGTAGCCATTCTAAAAGGCTCGCTCCACATTTCGTTAAAATAAATATTTTTTATTCTGTGAAAAAAAAATTTATGGTGTCGTGTGTTATCCGCTACGGACACACCAATGTTGTTTTGGCGTTGAGGACCGTCGGCCTCGATAGTACGTACAAATTATCCGCCGTCGTAAATATTCGCCGTGCGTAACTATTGTTGTACCTACTTCAACACGCGCGAGTTGTTCCCCGGTGCCGCCATCATTCACGCCGGGAGTTCTTCAACCATTTCACGGGTCACAACACTCCAAGTCGTCAGTCCAGGGTCACGTAACGTTACCCATATTATTATTTTATATGTTACAATATTATTATTATGTCATGTAGTGAATTATTTAGTCATAAGCTCCCACCCCTAGCCATTTAGCTGTTATAGTTGTAAGACGGTAGGAGAATAAAATTAATATAATTTACATCGTCATCAAATCTCTTTCTTGTCTCCTTTTTCTTACGGTTCACATTTTTATACAAATATCGGTGGAGCAGGAAACCGTAATCTCCATACTTCGGACCTGCTGCCCAAACATTTGGTCCTTCGAACCGGATAGTCATCGAAAAAATATATAATACAGTCCACGAGTCTTATCAAACTGTAGTTACTTTGTTCAGGCATTTTGCTCCATATATTTGTCGAAATATCAGTTAGCCATGCCTCTCAGTCCTACAGAAACCGAACGTGCAGAACGCCTTCTAGTACGTACTATCGCAAAACGTGATGCACTCGTTGTACAAATGAGTTTGTTGCATGATCTTTCTAAAAATGTCGTTCATAACGCGGCTACCGTTCTTCCGTTATTCCGCGCTCGAAAACGCGACATTGATTCTCTTCTCACACAATTCAAAGCTGAACAGGACTCAATTTTAGATATGTTAGTTCAGTTGCAACGCGTAAGTGAATACCACACTACGCATGCACCGATCGACATTGCGTTATCGGAACAATATTATAATATCTTAGCAGTCGCTGAAGAAATCGGTTTGAATGTTCCATTGACGGTATCTCCGGTCACCGTTAGTTCTCAAGAGTGTTCTCATATTCAATTACCGAAAATTGAGCTTCCTCATTTTGATGGTGACTTCTTGCAATGGATCGCCTTTCGTGATACGTTCAAATCATTAGTACATGATAACTCGCAAATAAAAGATATCGAAAAATATCATCATTTGTTGTCCGCTGTCAGTGGAAGTGCTGGTGCTGTCGTGCGTTCCCTGCCGTTATCAGCGTCCAATTATGTCGTCGCATGGAAAGCCCTTCTTGACAGGTTTGACAACCCACGCCTTATCATGAATTCGCATTTAGATAAATTGTTTAGCTTCTCCACCTTGCGTTCATCGTCGTTGGACGATTTGAAACATTTTTTGGACATTTTTTAAGAAAATATCGCCGCCCTGAGAAGCTTTGACGTTCCAGACAAAGAGGGTTTCTTGTTGTTTTATCTCGCGTCGCGGGTATTGGACTCTAGCACAAAATGTTTATTTGAATCCCAACGTGATAATCGGACAATACCAGTCATCGATGAATTGTTGACGTTCGTACAGACTCGATGTCAGGTTCTCCAAAATAGTGCAGTTACATCCAATTGGGGATCACCAGTCAAGAACAAACCTACTTCCTACACAAAAAAAGGTTCGTCGTTCGTGAAGACTTCCTTATTAGCCAATGCTTCAGAGTCCCACAAACCGTGTTTAGTTTGTAATGGCCCACACCCTTTGTATCGATGTGACAAATTCATACAACAATAGGTGCCGGCACGTCTCAAAACGGTACAGACACATCGTTTGTGCAGAAACTGCATAAGTGCAGTACACGACACCTCAAAATGTTCATCGAAGTATTCATGCCGTCATTGCTCCGCGAAACACCATTCATTGCTTCATTTGGACACATATAAAACAAAAGGATCCTCGAATCTACCCAGCTCCTCCAGTTCGACTTCAGGGGACACATCGAAAGGTCAGGATGTTGCCACTGTCAACATAGGAACAGTCAGCCGCACAAATTTGAGTGTCTTGGGGACGGCTAGCATTCGGATTCAGGATAAGTGCGGACATTGGATTCCCTGCAGAGCTCTGATAGACTCAGGTTCACAAGTCTCTGCGATTACTCATAATTGTGCAACCCAATTAGGCTTGACACGACGTCACAGCGCTATTGACATTGTGGGATTGTCACAAACACCGATTTCTCGGGTAAAAGGAGTAATAACATGTTTGTTCACAGCGAGTTCTACCACTTCTCCAGAATACTCATGCGAACCCATTGTATTAAGCAAAATCACTGGCACATTACCATCCATAAGGCTTAATCCGAGCATTCGCTCGCACTACTCCGCCCTGCAGTTCGCTGACCCATTTTTTGATCGTCCAGGGCGCATTGATTTCTTGTTGGGTGCTGATGTCTACAACCAACTCTTCACGGACGAAAGTCGGGTGCATCATAGTCCAGGTTTTCCGTCAGCGTTCGAGACACGATTAGGATGGATATTCATAGGTCCTATTGCCTATAATGGTACTGAAATCTCACCAAACAGTCTGACGATACGTACAGAGCCGTCACTGGATAAATTGCTCCATCGGTTCTGGACAGTTGAAGAGCCAGTAGTAAAACCAATTCCATTCACTGAAGAGCAGAAGTGCGAGGATTGGTTTGTTCGGACAACCCGACGGGATGAGTCAGGCAGATACATAGTAACGTTCCCTTTCAAGTCAGACCCATGTATTTTGGGTGGGTCACGTACAATGGCCTTATCTCGATTTCTGAATTTAGAGCGCAAATTACAGGTTAATGACGAATTGTACGCAGAATACCGGGCGTTCATGGATGCGTACATAAAGCTTGGTCATATGCACCTTGCCACATTGCCTGGAAAGTACATCATCCCCCATCACGCGGTAGTCAAATCCGTGAATGATTCCATCAAACTTCGAGTCGTATTTGATGCATCAGCTCGGACGTCATCAGGTTCATCGTTGAATGACATCGTGTTCACGGGCCAAAAATTACAACAAGATATTTCCACATTGTTAATGTCATGCCGGCTACAACGGTACATGTTCACAGCAGATATTTGCAAGATGTACCGGCAGATCAAGCTATCTCACTCAGACCAACAATATCAACACATCTTATGGCGCGATTGTCCCTCGGATCCGTTACAAGAGTACGCTTTATCCACTGTCACATATGGGGTTGCGTGTTCGCCATTTCAAGCGATACGGGTGTTGCACCAACTAGAAGCGGACGAAGGAGCTAAGTTTCCAGCCACGAAGAACGTGTTAACGGCCCAAACATATGTAGACGATATCATTACCGGGGCCCAATCCGTTGAGTCGGTGCTAACACTCCAGAATCAACTTTGTAACCTCCTGGCAAGTGGTGGCTTTATCTTGAAGAAGTGGGCGAGCAATAGTCCAGAAGTTCTTCAAACCATTCCCGTCGAAGATAGAGTCCTTGAATTGTCTTTTGATCCCAAAGATGACGCTTGTGTAAAGATTCTCGGGCTCCATTGGGACCCCGTCACAGATACGTTCACCTATCATAGTGATCATGTCCAGTCCGCACTCACCAAAAGAGCAGTTCTATCGTCCATCGCTAAGATATATGATCCGCTTGGTGCCCTAGCGCCGATAACGTTCTGGGCAAAATGTTTTATGCAGAGGTTATGGAAGGAAGGATATGAATGGGACAGTCCCATATCGTCAGAACTAGCATCAGCATGGGCCCTGTTTGCCTCTGAATTACCCCTTGTCTCAGGTATCCGGATTGCACGTCATATCCCTGTTCAATCAAGTAGCCACGCGCAATTGATTGGGTTCTCCGATGGTTCACTGAAAGGCTACGCCGCGCTCGTATACCTCCGACTTTTGTATGTCAACGCGTCACCCACCATACATCTCATTACCGCCAAATCTAAAGTAGCGCCGTTAAAGTCAGGTCAGGCCGATGAACTTCTATCTGTCCCACGGCTGGAGTTGTGTGGCGCGTTGCTGTTGGCACAAGTTCTACAGCGTGTACAAGGGACCATGGCATCTGTGGTGAGATTGTCGTCAATTCACGCGTGGACTGATTCAACAGTCGTTCTATCCTGGTTGACGAACGTGCAAGTACAATACAAAATATTCGTCACCAATAGACTCAACAAGATCAAGGAACTAATTCCAACATGCAAATGGCACCACGTGGTTACTTCCCAAAATCCTGCAGATTGCGTATCCCGCGGAATGTTCCCGAAAGATGCGCTGGACCATCGTTTGTATTGGGATGGTCCCTCATGGTTGTACGAGCCCAATGATGAATGGTCATCCGCCGCGTTCCAACCTTTAGCTCTTCATGAGGTACCAGAACAGGCAAGCCACACACTAAGTGCAGTGACACTCGCCACCCATGTAGATGACCCCGAGTGGTTCAAAAGATTTTCCTCATTGACAAGACTTCAGCGTGTCATTTCATACATGCACCGGTTCACTGATCGCGCACGAAAACGACAGTCAGTACTTGGATATATTCGACATACCGAACTCGAACGTTCATTGTTTCTGGTTATACGGCTGACACAGGATCAACATTTCTCGGCGCTCCGAAAATCACTCACGTCAGTACCTCCCGAAGCTTCTCCGATATCACTCGCTAGACTGTCTCCCTATATTGACTCAGAAGGAATAATTCGCGTGGGTGGACGTCTGCGGCACTCCGTACTACACGATGAAGCCAAAAATCCTATTTTATTACCGAAAGTGTGTTCCTTGTCTACACTTTTAATCCGACACTATCATCTGCAATATCTGCATGCCGGCCCACAGCTTATATCGTCCTTACTCGTGCAACGATATTGGATCATGTCAGCCAGGGCCGCTATCCGTCGCATAACATTCAAATGTATTAGCTGCACTCGTCAAAAGGCAACCGCGCCCATACCAATGATGGCAGACTTGCCCCCCGCCAGAGTACGTCCATCCCGGCCATTCGCTCACGTGGGGGTGGACTATGCGGGGCCGTTTCTGATCAAGGAAGGGAGGCGGAAACAAGCACGCTCCGTCAAAGGGTATCTAGCCCTGTTCGTTTGTATGGTGATTAAAGCGGTTCACATTGAGGTTGTGTCGGACTTGACCACCGACGCGTTCATTGCTGCATTACATCGATTCGTGTCGCGACGGGGACTCCCGTCAGATATATATTCAGATTGTGGTACCAATTTCAAGGGAGCAAATCGTGATCTCCAGCGTTTGTTTTCGGAACCCGCGGCGCAGGAATTGTACTCCGGTGCCATCGCCTGTCACTGGCACTTTAACCCACCTGCATCACCGCACTTCGGAGGGCTGTGGGAAGCCGCTGTGAAGTCTTGCAAATACCATTTGAAGCGCGTGATTGGAACCCAAATGTTGACGTTTGAGGAGATGGCCACACTAGTCAGCCGGATAGAAGCCATCTTAAACTCGAGACCAATCACGCCACAATCGTCCAGCCCACACGATCTGAACCCGTTGACACCAGGTCATTTTTTGGTGGGTGGGCCTCTCGTCACAATTGCTGAACCGGATTTGACCACTACTCCGATGAACCGTTTGCGCCGGTGGCAACTTTTAACTTTGTTCCACCAATCGTTCTGGACCAGGTGGGCAGCAGAATACCTTACGAGTCTACAGAACCGAGCCAAATGGATACGACCACAGCTCAACATTGAGGTCGGGGACCTAGTCATCGTCCGATGTCCAAATTCGCCACCAACTGCCTGGAAACTCGGCCGCGTGGAAAGCACTCATCCAGGTGATGATGGCGTGGTGCGAGTCGTCACAGTGCGCACCACCGATGGTACGTTCAAAAGACCATGTGTCAAACTTGTCGTGCTACCTACGCCTGATGATCCGTAACATCTGAACTATTCTTTAATATCATTCTCGTTCCTTTTCCGTTTTTTCTTTTGTTTATTGTTATTGTTTAAAAAAAATTGTTGGCCCCCCAATATTATTAGTATTACGTGACCCGCGAAGTGTATACCATCCTACAGGAGATTGAAAGTCGCTCCAGTCTACGTCTTTCAAGCCGGGAGTATGTTGCCGCCACAGTATAGTGATAAGTCACGCACGCGAGCACGGCCAGATCAAAGGTCGTGCCGGTGTCTCATTCGCGTCTAACGAGACATAATCGGTCGGCGGCCGTGTTATGTAATATAGGTGATATGCAAATATCGTTGTTCGCCTGCTAGTTAGTCATACACTGTTCGTCGTCAGTACCGGTGTGTGTGTGTCGTGTGTGCGTGTGCGAGTAGCCATTCTAAAAGGCTCGCTCCACATTTCGTTAAAATAAATATTTTTTATTCTGTGAAAAAAAAATTTATGGTGTCGTGTGTTATCCGCTACGGACACACCAATGTTGTTTTGGCGTTGAGGACCGTCGGCCTCGATAGTACGTACAAATTATCCGCCGTCGTAAATATTCACCGTGCGTAACTATTGTTGTACCTACTTCAACACGCGCGAGTTGTTCCCCGGTGCCGCCATCATTCACGCCGGGAGTTCTTCAACCATTTCACGGGTCACAACACTCCAAGTCGTCAGTCCAGGGTCACGTAACGTTACCCATATTATTATTTTATATGTTACAATATTATTATTATGTCATGTAGTGAATTATTTAGTCATAAGCTCCCACCCCTAGCCATTTAGCTGTTATAGTTGTAAGACGGTAGGAGAATAAAATTAATATAATTTACATCGTCATCAAATCTCTTTCTTGTCTCCTTTTTCTTACGGTTCACATTTTTATACAAATATCGGTGGAGCAGGAAACCGTAATCTCCATACTTCGGACCTGCTGCCCAAACAATATCTAAGATTTATTATAAGTTATGAATAGACAGTAAAATGGCTTGTAGGAACTAGGAATACTCTCAGCATAATATATTTATAACTAAAATTTAAACATAAACATACCCATACTATACCATATTATTGGTATACAAACTAAAATATATATACTGTTGCAATTGGCACTTTAAAATTGGAAAATCGTAACACAAAACTTATTGCTTTGTCACATTCTTCAAAGATAATATTTTCAAGTATTCGCATTTAAATATAAAAATGTAATATTATAATGGGATGAAAGTAACAGTACATTTTATCATAGTCAACAAACTTTGATCTAAAAAACTTATATTTGTTATAATAATACGTTACACATAAGGTTTGAAATGTGGAATCTTATAAAAGGTTATAGTTTCATGGAAATGTGTAGTCATGTAGATTATAAATTATTGTAAACAAAAATGTGTAACACACTTAGTAAGTACACAAGACATGTTATTTTTTTAAAAGAATTTTGGTGCTTATTGATAAAACATACAAACTATACAATTTGAAAGTGTGTTATAAAATAAAATAAAACATTTTACAAATTATTAAAATTGAAAATAAATAATAAATAATAGGTTTTTTTAAAATTAATGTATATAATAAACTTGGATTTTTTATCCATTCAATATTTAGGTGGGGGACGGAGTGGCCGACGCTGGTTCGATACCTGGGCCGCGGGCTGCATTTTTCTTCGGGCAAGTCACGGTGTCCGGAGAACAAGTGCAGCCATCCCCCACCGGGCATGGCAGATACCTACGGGTGCTCCATCAAAAATTCTAACAAAATACAACACATGTAAAAACCTACCCAACCTAAAATCCCACAGTTTCCTCCCCACACCCAATGGCTTATGTTGCCGAGGGTTATCCAATTAAAAAAAAATAAAAAATATTTAGATCTTAAAATAAAAGAGTGTACTTATATAAAAACTAATTAATATTTATTATACCTGTGTATAATGGTACACATTAGTATTATTGTATACAAATGATAAAAAATCTAATTTTTATAATTTCTACTTTTTTTAAGATGGTTATCCTTATTTTTGTTTCTTAAAATATATTACTATTGTGTCTTAGAACAATTAGTTCTGGTTGGTACAATAACTTAATACACCCTAAATTGTTTGAAGTGTGTAAGCCGGCACTGAGTTCTAAATCCATCAAGTACTTGCCGAAGCAGTATGCATGAGTTTATGATTACTCACCCTATAATATTTTGGTAGGTAGGTAATTAAACGTATTACCATAATAGCATGGTAAACATTTTCGTGTCTATTGATACGGAATGGATCATTAATATGCTTAACACGTTGGATTCAGAAACTTATTTGCAAAATTGCAACAGTTTCCGCCATACAACAGGTGTATTCAAAAGCTGTTCAAGAGTGCTGAGATTTTAGAGTTCAACTATGTTCCGATATTGGATATTCGATTACAATATAGATACAAATAATATTATATGAGACACGGTGACTTAATATTGACCATCTCAAACCACGCAGTATCGACGTGGATGATCGTCCAGTGATTTTAAAGTTTAGTAACTTACAGTGTTCGTGAGTATTAACTGCAGTTTATAGAATATTTCAAAAAAAGAAATTAAACATCCAATTTCACTATAAAAAAAAAACGTATTAGAGTGATTATAATATATTATTTTGTAGTTTAGCCTTTAAAAGCTACATAGTTAATATAACATATCATTCTGCTCAGTAAATCCGCGGAAAACCGTAATAATAGAAGAGTTGATATACCTAGTACAGTACCTATCTATATTATGGTATTATCAAAGACGACTAGAAATTGTGAAATCCCTTTACTGTGACCAGAATCGACATCGACAGTAATCCGAGAAAGTTTTTCTGACGCACGGATGAAGGCGTTAAATTCAATTTGAACCAAATTATCTAAGTAGGTAGGTATGTTATCAAAGTGTTCACTATCAAGAGCCCACATTTATACACTGTCGTCTAAGTGCATCTATAAAAGTGCCTTTATGTTAGGTACATTTTAACAGTTAGTAAAAAAAAAAAAAAACTATAAAATATAACTTGTGTATAACACTTGACATTTCTTCTGTTCTTCAATAATCCACCAGCTGGATTTATTTTCACTTTTCGTGAAATAATTTTATATTTCCCAAAAAAAAAAATAAAAATAGAAACGCTCACTCTACACACTATATAGTTACTATATATAATACTATATATACTCAGTCATATTTTTCGCCGTACACAAACCCTTATGTAATGCAATATTGTAACTACTCAAAACATGTCATGCCAAGTGCACAGTGGTGATTACTTTCACTACCTGCTAGGTTTTTCATGTTTGTCTTCTGACTGGCCATGATGGATTAGGTAATAAAATATACTGCAGCTAGGTAAATGTAAAGACAAACGAAATATGGAGTATGTATTACGTGCACATAACAAAGCTTTTACATCGATTGTGTGGAAGACATATTGACAGAAAGAATACAACTGAAGACTACGAAATTGTTCAGATTTCTGTTTAAAGACTGTAGTTTAGGCTACTTCAAATGTAATATTGCAGTATTTGTTTTATAAAAATAATATATTATCGTTGTAGGTCTGCTTTCGGTTTCATTAAACTAATGTTTAATGGTTCTGAAAAAAATTTAAATAAAGGTTTCGGTTTAAGTTCGAATAGGTATTTAAATATGTAGCTACCGAGTTTTCAGTATATATATATCAAATTATTTTATTATATGCGCATAGAAATAATTTTATCAGACATCAGAATGGCAAAATCTGATGCATTATTTTTATAGATCCTTCCACCTATTCCATCTAATTTATAAATTTTAACAGTTGAGTAATAACCATAATATAATTCAGGCGGTGAGAATATATATGTACCAGATAAGTTCATAATTTCCATAATATATTGTATTGAGAATATTCTGAGATTGAAATTTGTAATTTGTATATCAACCGGAAATAACTGCTCTTAATTAATTGTTTGCTTTTGTTTTATAAAATAATGGTTCAAGTTCCTATACACGGTTTTGAAATGTAAAAATTAAGATTTCAGGTTTGGATTGGCATGCATTGTATCTACCAAACCTATATTTATCACAATTTCTGATAAGAAAACACTAATATAATGTCATACAAAAATATAAAAATAAATAAATTACAATAAATGAATTTATAAAAATGGCGTAGCTTAATTATTAAATATGTCTTAAATAAAATAAAAAAGATACTCTGATAGTCTGATGTGCCTATAATACTAAAAGTTATAATAGTGGTTGACGAGTAAGTTTTTCATTATGTTAAATTTGAATTCAATGATGAATCAAAATAATATACTAACGGTCCTACGAAGATCGATTCTAAGCGGAGACAGTTTGTCCATCTGTTATAAATCTAAGGATATTTCATAATAAATATTACATTTATATTGCTATTGGTAATTTATTTTCTATTTCTCTTTTCTAGGTTATGTAACTTATGTAGAAAATAGATTTTAAATTTGTTGTATTGTTTAATTAGTATAGTACCAAATTAATTATTTTATTATACAGCTTTATTTTAGTGTAACTAAAAAAAAAATCAAAAATCCATTTCCCACATAACTTAGAAAAAAGAATAACGACTTCTGGAACTATATTTGTTTTTGTTCCGATAATTGGTCTAAATACACAAAAAAATGAACAGCTTTAAAAACGGCTTTAACCTTTAAGACATAAGTCAATACTGACTTACCGTCGAAAGATGAGAATAGGTTCATTGTATTATAATTAATAAATATAATACACAATGTTTTAAATCCTAAACGACAATATTAAATAAAAAATTGTGCATATTATGGTGTTATGTGCATATAATTGGGAAGACAGATTAACAGATCAACGCCTATCGTACTGTTGGCTAGGCGGCCCCCCCCCCCTACGCGGAGTCGTGACTCGAGTCGGGAGATTGAATGTATTTTCCCGACATTTCGCATACATATTGCTTTAAGTAAAGTGTATTTGAATGTATTTGA